TAATTCACGCTCAATGTCGTTATTGATATCTTGAATTGACACAGATTCTGAAGATGTAATAACTTGAGTTTCAATCCATGGTGCATCGATCTTTATTTCATTGCAGATTTTTTTTAATGCTGACTTGTCAATGAGTAAAATTTTGAATTGTCAATATAAATTCTATAAAGTTCTTTAATTTATGAATAAACTGACTTTGTTATTTATCGTTACACGCTGTTGCGGTATAAAATCTTCAAGCAGTTCAGAGTCAGAAAGTTCATCCAAAGGAAGTATCTCAGGTGATGGCATTTTTTTTTTTTTTTTCCTCCATGCCTTGATTTTTATTTTTATTTTTTTTTATATATATGCAGTATCGTGACTTTGTACTACATAAATTTTTTGTATATAAAAGCTCCCAGATGGTGAATTTTAGAAAAAAAAATGTCCTTTGCAAAAGATACATATCAATATGATAACCAATCTCCAACGGATCAATTTGGGCACGATCCGGTTGCAGTGTCCGATTTTTTGGGTCGAGTAAACTTAAACTCTGCACAAATCAGAGAGATAGCGGGTCTTGGTAATATCGATTATTTAAAGTTCGATGAGCAGGGAGTTACACCAGGTGCACTTCCTAGCCGAGGAGTAATGGACGATCTATGTTATGGCACTGGAACAACATATTTGACCGGTACTATCAATAATCCGCGAAAATCTGTTTAACAAGATCTTGAAGAGGTGTTTTGTAAAATTCACAGCGTTTGACACATGTAGGTCTAACTTTTGGTGGTACATGGGGTCTGATTGAAGGATTACGTGGACATACACCTAATTTCAAATTACGATTAAACACGGTGCTTAATTCTGTCACTAGACGTGGTCCTTATATTGGAAATTCATGTGGAATCTTAGGTATAAGATAAGATAAATCAGTGTTAGCAATTGGACAGTTTTGGATTGCTTGTAATATGGCGAAACCTTGTCCAAAACTGTTAAAATTGTCTTCTTTGAGATAAATACTTATAAAACATTCTAATAGTTCATGATTGATTTTTTTTTTTAATAGCAATGGGTTATAACAGTATCAATGGAATAATTAGCAACATGAGGGGCAGGCATGATGCTATAAATAACGTAGCATCCGGTGCTTTAATAGGCGCGATTTTCAAGTCTACAGGTAATTAGAAAAAGTTGGAACATCTATATCAATAATCAAAGTTTCTGCTAACTAATTTAAATTGTTTTTTTTTTTTTTTTATGAAAATCAAAGCCGGTATAAAAGCTGCAGCGACTACATCTGTAATCTGCGCAGCTGCTGCCGGGACATGGACTGTCGTAAAACAATATTTCTTTAGGCATTAAAGTCAATAAAATTTTTGCTATGTAAAAATTCATGAAGAATAACATATTGATTTTTATCATTTTATTATGAGCTATGATTTTATAAAGTTTTATGTAAGTATGTGTCATTATTGGCTTTTTAGGTAAAGGCTAGTTTTAATAATATTATACAATCAAACCTCCCTAAGTGCACTTAGCTTGGTCCCAGGACCGGGACTTAGCGTAGGTTTCCAACACCCAGACATATATGTGTACCCTCCGTAAATGCATACACGTGAGATTTTACTAATAGAACACAGAATTTACACCTCTCTAAATGCATACCTTAATTTTGGTTCTAAGCGTACTTAGAGAGGTTTAATCACATGTATATTTTTCTTTCTTTTGATTAGCTAGTTGAATTTCTATTATTATGCATCTCTAAATGCAAATTTATTTTCGGTCCTAAGGGCGTGCACTAAGAGAGGTTTGATTGTTATTATAACAATATATCATCTTTGTATGTGAGAAAATGTGAGAAATAAATTAAACAAACCGAACATTAATAAAAATTTTTTATTAGTGAATTACATATTTCTACAACCAGAAGACAATTCTGCAGCAGATATTTTTGGCATTCCTTGTTCATCAAGTTCTATTCCCGGTGCTAACTCATGAAGAATTTCTGCTGGTGGTTGACCAAGTTCTTGAAGCTAAGGAAAATAAATAAACAAATTAATAAAAATTAAAATAATATAATTAATCAAATTAACTTGAAATTATATGTGACACTTACTTCTTGCATTAAGCTCACTATGACCTTATTCTGTTGTTCATTGTTTTCATCAAAATCAGGCGCTTCATATTTCTCAATAATTTTTTGAATATACTTTGATTGTTTTTCATAACGTTCATAGTCCTCTTCTGAAACTTTACTTTTGTTTTCTTCGAGCCATTTCGGGTACTTAAAACAAATAGTGCAACCATGACGATTGTGTAAGGATGCAGCGATGATATCTTTTGTTGTTAGTTGTGTGGAAAAAAAATTTATACGTATTAAACTATAGATTATGAATAATACCGAAATAATGATTATCCACCTTTTGAACAAATTCTTTCATTGGCTCATATAAGTAATCTTTTGTCGCTAGAGTTTCCATCATCCACTCTAATACTTTATCCATTCCTCCGCCCATCATATCCTCCATATTTCCATTCTCACCAAGACCTGCTAACCCTGCTACACCTTCTAATTGTTTAATCATTTGTTCGACTAATGCATCGGCTGCACCTTCTGAAATTTCGGCCTTTACAAATGTAAACACTTGTTAATCATGATCCCTCTATTTTGAGAACCCAGATATGTAAGGCAGTAGAGAAAATTTTGGAGACTTTACAAACTTGTATCGTAACAAATACAATACAGATCTATATGGTTACCAATTTATCTTTTACAATTCTTCATATCTGGTTTCTCGAAAATGGACAAAATCCAATAATGAAACGTATTACAATTTTGAACGTTTACATACATCAACTTGATCCGAACTATTTTGAAGTTTATTCATTGTTTGATTGATTTTATCTTGAAATGATCTTTCTTTGAATTCATTAGGCCCCCCTAAATTATTACTATCGCTATTTCCAACCCCACTGATGGATTCATCACCAACTGAATTCATTAACTCTTGAAATGCTTTTTTTATCTCTTCGTTTTCTTCAAACTGTTTAACAAAATCTTCCATGTCTGCGGCTAATTGCGCCGCATATTCTTCATCATTTATAAGATTCTCATTTGAAGTAGTGGCTGTGGAAGTTGTAGTTTGCTTGTTTGAGTCATGATGCTTAGAAGACTGCTGTGAAGAAAAGTCGTCCAAAACCTCTGAAACATTTGAAATTAAATAGGTTACATTGGTTTTTCCTATAAAATCTATAAAAATTCTTTAGTCTAACCATCAAGTAGATCGTCAATATCATCCAACTCATCAGCTACTGTAGTCTTTTTATCTTCAGACGCCATTTCAATATAAAAATGATCAGATTATTAAAGATCGTTTGATGCAAATCGAACTTCCATTGATCCCATGCAGTGACCGTCAAAAATTTTTAAAGATTCATGTGATTTTTTTTTAGGCGTTAAATTGACCAATCAGAATGCAGAAATGGGCCTATTGTTTGAGCATTAGCCACCAAAAAAACTGCCAACAAATTACTAATAAAATTTTCACAGTCACGTGTTGATCGACAAAATTTGGCCAATGACGAATCATGTGTTCGTGTACCGTAACACGATCAGGAAAATTCAAAACGTTCGCTTTGAAAAAATTGCTTTTTTTCAAAAATATGCATAATAAACCACCCTTTGTACAGTAACAAAAAGTT